CTTTATGTGTTTCTGCTTTGATTCATATTTATCTCCTTTTCTATGTGATCTCGTCACCTTGTCGAAGGCATATCCCACGATTTACTAGGTATGCGCTTTTGCGCTCAAAAATAATACAGGGGGGGGGGCAAAAAAAAAAGACATTTTGCCTATGTCGGACTTCGGCCCTTTTTTCTTCGCAGAGATTGCTGTCGTTGACGGGAGTTCCTCAGCAGAGTATTCCCTAAGTGTCCCTCTATAAGTGAACGCAGGCCCTCCTTCACTGCCCTCACCGTCTTCAGAATATGACGTCATCTGTCACCGTCGTCAGGCTCAAGGAGGTCTACCGTAAGTGCTTCAGCCTGAAGCTCTTACGCAATTTCGTGAATCGATTTAATGTTGGATACTTTCTAGACGAGCATGCGTCAGCTTCCCACTATACAAATCCCCTCGAAACTAGCTTTCCAGTAAAGGGTCGTTATGGTACACGATCCTTCGAAGACCCCATTGAGCTCGACCAGTGCACCATGTTTCCAGGGCAAATTCTTCTGATGCCGTCCACGTAGGTGGCCACCATGAAGATTTTCTTATAGAATGGAATGTGCTCTTTAATAATAAGTTGGGACATTCGATCTGACCTGAGCAAAGTACGCTTAAACCCATCCGAAAGTGGAGACAAAATGTCTTTTTTTATTGCCCCCCCCCCCCCCTGTATATATGCATAGTGGTTCCAATGAAAGAGACAAAAAAGATGGCTCAAGTTCTTTCTTACCCACTGATTGTATGGGCAAGGTGTGCAGCCCGCTCCTTTGCAAATCCCATTGGTCAGTCGGTTATCACAAGGTAAAATGCAGTAATTAATAATTGTAGTGTACTAGTAATATAATGAATGTTTTTTAACAAAGTTAAATATTTAGTGGTAGTTGAGGCGACCTGAGGGCGGAGCGCAAACCCCGCCCATACGATTGGCGCCCAAATGTTACTCTCAGTTGTTTTTCTTCGCTTTAGCTTTTTTTCATCACGCGCTAGAGCTGACGCATATGACGATGATATAAATATAGCAGCGTTTGGCAAATTCTTTGGAAGCATCAAACATCTCTTTTGAACCACCACCTCCCCTCCACCTTCTGATCTTGTTGGTCGAGCTGATGACGAATCGTCTCGCAGACGCTGCCCTTTCTCGAGACTGCGGTTCCTGTTGAAGGTCTCCGCGCGCTTGGCCAAAACATATGGAAACCATTCAAGTGTTCGAATTCTCCTTGAGCTCCTGTGTTCTGAGTATTACCTTGTGTGGAAAGATCTAATCGGATTTTCTTCCTTCGAGAAAAAAGCTGTAATAGCAACACACCAAGTCACCTCTTAATTTTGACTTTGAAAAAAATAATTATTTTGTGGATATCCGCGTTTGTATTGTAATGTTCGTCGAAAAACATGAGCTATATATCGGTTTTTGAATCAAGGTGGCCAACCCAAGAATAATCATCGTGTTGAGACCATTTCAGGTTACCACCATACAAACCCTACCCACCCCCACTCCTTCCTAGAGGGTACCATTCCATGTATAGTAGAACCTGGTACCCTTCATCTACAGGGTGGGCCAAAGTTATGAGGACAGCGTGTGCGCGTGGTTATATCCACTTTTTTCGACTCGCTCCATTTTCATCTCGTTTCCTGTGCACTACTGAAAGGGTACAATGTCTTCTTCCTATTGAAAAATCAAATATCGCGCAGTTCTCAAAACTAGTGAAATAGCTACATCAAAGTAATTCAGTTTCGAAATTGAACTCACTAGGGTTCTGGCACGCTTACAACAGCAGTTCAACGTAACAGGGAAGCTCTTATGAGCAACAGTTCAACTCTTCAATAAGTTTGGAACCACCACAGATGGAAAATTCGGAGACTCGAAAGTTACAGTTACCACCAGGACAATTATCAGATGCAGAAACTAGCTCTCCCCTTGTCGACTTTCGTACTCCCAAAATGAAAAAATTGATGTGAAAACCCAGCCAGACACTCTAAAGACTCCACATCTGTAGTGGATAGAAAGCCACTCGAGTAGTCTACTTGGGACTTTTTACAGGACCGAGCACCCAAGAATAAAGCAAAAATTCTCCAAAAAGCGATTTTTCGAGTTCGTTGCTTTCGAAGAATTGTTACAAGGAACCGTCTGCCTGATTTGTCTAGATCTCCTTTATAGTGCACCAAGAGGCAAGCGTCAATGATAACCCTACAAAACTCCGATCCCCTGAAAGAGAAGCAGAACATAGGAACATTTTGACACGCTCTGGTTGCGTGCCACCGCACGCGCCATCCTTCCTTCATCTGAAGGCTCGTGTAAACGCAGGCAGGTGGCAGATCTCAATCCTATTCTGGA